TTGAGACCTATTGCAATCTCTTAACCCTGGGTCCCTAGAACATCAACCACATTTCATGTAATTATTTTTGAAGCACAGCAAGCCCCTTAACCACCATTCTCAAGACAAACTTTCCTCTTTTAAACGCATGTTCATTCTCACAAGATAGAGCCTTCCATAGGCTGGGCTTACACTCAGACACCTTTCCTGTTGTTCAGTTATTCCCTTTTTTCACAGTTATTCTAAATTTAATCAACTTTGGGATGAAGATTAACTGGCACATGCTGTGGCTCAAACAACACCAAGATAGTTTAAAAGTTCTGACTATAGGAAATGTCAACACAGTGAACGTTATCATTCAGTTGGAAAATTATTGTTGTGGGTGGGTTGGTTGGTCTTTATTACACATTTCCAAGAACCGACTCAGTAGGATTTGAATTAAATACATTTGACATTGCAACAAAAATAGCTCAGGAAGTCCCTGAAACTGACCAGATTCTTGAGGCAACTCCTTTACCAAGAGTATATTAAAGACTGCTGAGCATCACTCTCAGATAAGCCAACCTGCAAAGATGACTCTGCGACATTGCCTGGAACACCCAGAGGCCAGCCTTGCTGCCTAGAAGAAGCAAAGATCAGCTGAGCTGGCTGGAAAGGACACTCTCCAAGCGGTTGAGCTGTGTGCAGGCTGTGCAGTGTGCTCCAGGTCCCCAGCTTTTGGGAGCTGTCACCCATGCTGAGGCAGGCTTTGGTGACACAGCTGTCTTTGAGTCATTTTTCTCCTGTGAGTAAGCCCTCACCCATATTCCTGTGAGGAACCTCTATAGAACTCATAGGTTCACCAAGTTGCACTTTAGTGTATTTTGGTCTGTCATCAGATCCCTGTCTGAGATGAGTAGACATGTGTACACATTCCCCCAGGAACAGTGTCACACAACAGGGGCCAGCAAGGTGGCTCAGCACGTAAAGGCACCTACTCCTAGTCCTCACAACTCAAGTTCCAACCTTAAGAATCACTGGGTGGAAGGAAAGACTCTACTCCAACTTGTTCTCTGACCTCCACACTCACCTATGGCACATGCACATCCCCCTTCTGTAGTAATATATACATGTTTTTAAAATTTTAAAGCAAAGACAAACAACTTAAAAGGTTTACCTTGGCTGCCAGTTTCTAAAGTTTTGGTCCATGGTTGCTTGATCATATTAATTTGAGCCTCTAGCAATATAGTTTCTTATGTAAAAGGCAGAAGGCTGAGGAGGCTGCTTATTTTACAGCACCCAAGATACAGAGATAAGAGTAACCCAAGTCCTAGTATTATGGGGAGCTAGTGTACCCCTGTGTGAATGAGCATTTATGATAGGAGCATGACCAAATGGCAAGGTCTTTCCCTGGTTTGAGTACAGATGCTGACCAAAGGTTGACCTTTAACTAAAAACAGTACTTACAAAGAATACAGAGTATCAGCTGCAGCTTCTTCATCCCCATGACTGCACCAGCACATACTTGAAGACTGCTCCCCTGCAAAGACCTGTCTCCTCATTCATATCATGTCCAATAACCTCTTTGACTATCTGGGCTGCTGGTGTGTTTCCATCCAAGCATACATGTAGTGATCCCAGCTTTATGTTACACGTGTCTTGTCTTTTTAGATCTCCTGTTGCTCCCAGTCAGGTTTCCAGGACCAGCTTAAAGGGCTATGGCACAGAATCCTCTTCAAGAACATTCCCTCAGTGACTTGACGTTCTTTTTCTAGGCTCACCACTAAAAGGTCCAGTATGTCCCCACAGCACAAAATTTTAAATTACGGTTTCAAAGGAATCATCTTATTGTAGTTTTTCCCTGGGCCTGGGCAGGACATCGAGGAAGAAGGGGTGTAGTAGACTGTTTTTCACTTCTTGGGAGCACAAAGCAGAGAGAGGAAAATATAGGGAAAGACCAGGACAAGCTAGAACCTTTCTCTAACCCCCTGACCTACTTTCTCCCATTGAGTCCTAAGCCCCAACATTTCCCTTTCACCACCTCCCAATACGGCTATTATGCTATGAATCCATCAAAGGATTAATCCATTGATTTGGTCAGAGTCTTCCTGATTTACCTGTCTTGGGAAATGCCACCAGGCACACCCAGAGGTGGGTCTCAACAGTTCCATGGGTGTTTCTTAATCTAGTGACGTTCATAACCAATGTGAATCATCACATCGTAAATGGTGGTAAATCCAAAGGCAGCAGGGTATGATTGTACCTGCCTATCACCCCACACTTGGAAGGTAGAAGCCATCAGTTCAAAGTCATCCACAGAAATACAGAGTGTTCGGGGCCATCAAGAGCTACTGAGACACGGACTCAGGGGAAAAAAAAAATCCAGAGAGCAAATAACTATGATCATAATGTCAGTATTTTGGCATGGAACAATAGCTTTGTTTTGAACATTTCAGTCTCAGAAGGCTTAGGATGCTATTAACCAGGTGTGGTGTTTCATGATTGTAATCTCAGCACTCAGAATGATGAAGCAGGAGGATTGGGATGAGATAGAAGCCAGCCCATGAGCTCATGGTGAGGCCCCGACTCCATATGTAAGTAGATAAATACTTAATAAGTTAATTCTAATAAAGGAATGCTTATGGTTAAATTACTTAATTCCGAAGCATTTTGTTTTTATTTTCCTTACACTCTAATAATCTCTAATTATTCTTTCTTTTTTTTTTTTTCTTTGTTTCTTTTTCAAGACAGGGATTCTCTGTGTAGTCTTTGCTGTCCTGGACTCACTTTGTAGACCCAGCTGGCCTCCAACTCACAGAGATTTGCCTGCCTCTGCCTCCCAGAGTGCTGGGATTATAGGCCTGCACCACTGTGCCCGGCTATTTTTTTCTTTAAAGCCTTCCTATTTCAGTGTTTGAATGATGACTTTATCCCACAGATGTGTAATATATTTTAAACATTTGGTAATACTGCAGACAGAATCTGAGGCTATAACTTTTGGAGCGGATTTGCCTAGCATACACAAAGCCCCCAGTTTGGTTCCCAGCTTCACAAAAACAAAACTAATAAATATCTTTGAAAGTAAGATGTTATGAAACATCAGTGGTGACCAGATAAAGCCAAAACAATGAATTAAACAACAAATAGTAATTGCTTCAAAGTAAACTATCACGCACTTAAGTACTCCGAAGAGGATTTTCTATAACATATGATATCATATAATGTAATTAGCATTTTCTTTTTAAAATAAATTTTAGAAGGCAAAAATATTCTCAGCATAAAATGTCTTCACCAAGTGCTCTTTGTTAACACGCACAGAAAGCACGGTTTGGGTAATGGTGCTTTAAGGTCCTATGACTGACTCTGCAATTCAAGGCTATATTTAACTCCTTGCTTCGGGGTTAAGATGTTCTGAAGCGGCTAGTTAAATATTTAGAAACTCGGATTCCCTGGAATGTAAGATAAAAACGAGACCTGAGGGTGGAAAAGAAAGTAAACGAGAAATACACAAGCACAGTCCAGTGAAACACAGAGGAATGAATCCTTAAGACTGTTGGGGACGTGAGGCGGTTTTGAGTACACTATTTCCAGTCTCTACTCTAAAAATTCCAGGGGGCACTAGGCGGCCAGACTTGCCTCTGACTTCAGATCCTGGACCTTAGGTTTTTTCAATATTAAAAAAGACCAGTAGGGGGAGAGAAAAACCGAATACCATTATCAGTAGTTTTCTCTGTTTCTCTCCCCCTCTCTAGTATTTTCGAGACAGAGCTTCTCTGTGTAGCCCTGGCTGTCCTATAACTCGCTGTGTAGACCAGGCTGGCCTCGATGCACCTCAGATACGCTGCCTCCTGATGTGCTGGAATTACAGGCGTGCGCTATCCCCATTTTAAGAGATTAATAGGTTACGCAGTACTAAATCACCACCTTGAATCTAACTTGAAGCCAACGTAACTTTCTTGAAGCCTCAGAAATGAAAAACAGTTTCTATAGATAGGATACAAGGAAAAAAAGATGGGGCATAGCCAAAGGTCTCTGTGAAGTGAGTCAAAGGACTGCAGAGGGCTATTGGAGTGGGTTACAATTTAAACCACTGTTTGCAAGGGACCTCTTCCTAAAATCGGCTTCCAATTTGGGATAGGCGCCCTTCATCTTGTCCTCATTTCCTTTTTCTCTTTGGGCGTCCCCCACTCCCAACTCTCCTGTCTGCTTCTCTCAAGCCAGACTGTCTCTGGAAGAAACTAACAGGCATGACACGTCTGCCATCCGGGATGACAGCACAGCCAAGCTACCGCAGCGCTGAGTCGCACTGCCACTCGAGGCGGAAGAAGCAGGGCGCAGGCGCAGTGAGTCACAGCTCCCGAACTTGCACACTGCCGGGCCTCCCCGCCTCGCCTCACTTCCGGTCCCTCGCGGATCTGCTTCCGGGGCGTTCCAAGTTCGGCCCCTCCTCAGCTCTCACCCTCCTCTGCCCCAGGAGGGGGGAGTCGAGGGGGTGGGGAAGAGTTCGTTGTTTGTTTACACGATGTGAGCGGAAAGAGAGACCAATAAAGTTTATTCTGGAAACAAAAGGAAAAAGAGCCCGGGCGCCGGCCAGCGGAGCCGGGGGTGGGGGCGTGCGG